TCCGAGCGGCGCAAAGCGGCACTACTCTGTATTGATGGAAAATTGGTGGAATTGGGCACCAGGGAATTAGGTCCGCTGGCACAGGGCAAACTATTCGGAGACCCTTTCCTTAAAGAGTTAAACAGGCACGTAAACATGTTTACTTCTCTGAATAAGGCTCAATCCTCGATGAGGAGAGTCTTCAGACACAACCCCACCAGAGGTGTTTTTGGACGGGCTGGCCGCCAAAGGGGCTGTGCTGCCAGCCGTTTCTGGCCCTCAGGCTCCCGCACTTCCAGGCCCCAGCCTTTCTACCCAGAAGTGGGATATCGTCATAGGCGTGTGCACGGGTTGTGCCGGGTGTGCCTGGGCACACCCTAATCCCCGTGGCACGCCTATGTATTGAGACCGGCAGGCGAGATCTCAGGATCTCCCCTGTCGGCTCATGCAGAGTCGGTGCTATCCGAGCACCGGCTCTGCTCTCAGCCTCTGTAGCGGATGGCACGGGGCTGTCCTGAAAATGTCTGTGAAATAAATGCATTCGTGTGATCTGTTAGTTTCCTATGTGTTTTAAAGCCTTGTATTCTTGTGATTGTTCGGTAGTTTCGTTCCCTTAGTTTATTCGAATGAAACTACCGAACAACCAGACCTCCCCTGTGTGAAGTGTGTCCTCAATTACCCGTTGCAACATTGTTGTGAACGGGTAATTGAACAGTAAGTAGCCGTCCTTTGTTCTCGGGGGTGGCCGCCATTCGACAAACGAACACGTGGCGGCGGCCATTTTGAAACTCCCGAACAGCGGTGTTTTGCCGTCGAGTGTCTGGAACTAAAATCGGACACTCGAGTAGGCGAACACCGCTGAGACCTCCACAGCCCTGGTCCGTTCGGTTCCAAACTATCGAACGGCCCCTCGTTCGGTAGATAGAGAATACCGAACGAGGGGATTCAGGCGAACCCTCCCTAGCCTCTATAGCTAGAGGTTTTCGTGTCTTTTATTCCCTTATGCCAGGACCGACCGCAGGGCCCATTCACATGGAACCGAATTCGGCTATCTCAGTTCGTGCGGTCGGTCATTTTATTCCCTCCATATTTTTCCCGAACCCCTGGTCTGATCTGGGTGGTTTTTGGATATGTTGTTCACCCAGATCAGGGCTACCAGGGGATGTAGGATTTAAAGAGGTACCCCTACGTTTAGGGGTACATCCAGAAACGGGGGGAATTGGTGTACTGGATAAGGGGATTATAATGCTGGCTGAGGGGAGGAGATGTGTGGGAGGTTACCAGGACAGGATTGGCTACTGTAATAATTACTGTAATCCCTCCCTTGCATGGGAGCATGCTTTATAAGGAGACTGTGATTAAAGGCTTGTCAGTTCTGCTCCTGAAACTGTGTGTCGTCCAGTTATTGGGATTGCTGTGGGGAGGTTGCTGTTATTTTACCTGCTGG